GATATTTTTTCCACCCACCTTACACCCTAGTGTACTCTCTTGCCATAGCTGGTCTGGTTAACCTTTTCTTGCCCCAGTTCTTCCCCCTCTTTCCATTTCCGAAGCTGGAAACTATATGTCAGAATAGGAAAAATAGGCTGCTGTGTGTTTTTCTCATCCAAAGGGTACCTGGATGCCTTATCAGCAAGCAGCTGGGTCTTAAGGTGGTGCAGACAAATGCCAGGCCAGTTAATTATCAAATAACTGCCATTCAAGACCTGATAATGGATGAGAATGTTGGCCTGCCCTGTGTTACCAAAACCAAAAGTGAAAGAATCTACATTCCACCTGAATTTTTTGGTAAAGTCAGATTCAAGGGGGAGTGGAAACCCTGTATCTTGTTCAACCGTCTCCAGACTTAGAGTGTTTATTTCCACCTATTACTGGGCCTCAAGCAGAAGCTAGGGGTTACGTTGGTGCACAACTGTGCACCCTAATAACATTACGTTTGCCTGAGGTAGCAGAGGTGCTCTGAAGATGGGTGTGCAGGTTATTGGATCCTTGCTCATCCTGACACTGAAATCTGCCAAAGAATGACAGACTTGTTGGGATAAGAGATGTGAAGTCCTGGTGGTGGGGAGAGAAGAATTTAGGAGACCCTCCATCCACATGTTTTTTTCAAGAACCATTTCTCTGGTTTTGTGACAAAATTTGGAGGGCACTGGGGAAAAACATGAAAGATTTCCTGTTTTGAAATGAGTGAAATAACACTCAAGACTGTTTTTTTCCTCATCTGCAATGTATGGCATTGTTATGTACTGAGACTGAGGCAGTGTTTCTTAAACAGTGATTTCTTTATTCAGCTCAGAACACAGCAACACAGCAACACAGCAACACTCAAGAACGATGCAACTGTATACATTTTGAACCACGGAAAACCGCACCCCCTAGCATAGTAATGACCAATTACAACTGAGAGCTTAGAACCAATGGGATTCGTTCCCACCAAAGTTCAGAGTCTTTCCGGATTGGTCTGTTACGCAGCAGCGACCAATCCGACTGCAGGGTTTAGAATACCTGAGAGTCAATGGAGCTTGTGCCTGAAGCGCCAGTGTAGGTTACATAGCATAACACATAAGCAAATACATAACAAGCATGAAGATTGTATGTAAGCATGATAGCATTTATATAGCATCAGGAAGATCCATGGGGACTCACGGGGGGGGGGCGGGTTCTCAAACTATAGTCTCTTTCCCTCCCCCTGGCAGCCCCTGCTGTCTTTCCCCTTTGAGAAAGTAATTTGATTGTGTCTCTTTGGGGGTCGTTCTAAGCAAGAGTTTCTCCAAATAACATCCTTTTTGTAGAAGCAGTGTTTATTTCAACCACCTGTGCTCCTGAATTAGTTATACCAAGGTTTTATTTTGCACATTAGGACGAAGACAACGGCTGGAAAATGGCCCCCAGTAACTTTCTCCCAATAATGGAACAAGGAAACAGCAAGTATAAAGGCAAGTAACAACAGCAGGGCTAAAACAGAACTGATTCTGCATGCTGACATTCTGTGACCCTCTCATATGCCTGAAGGTTGGGAAAGACGCTTTTCTAAAAAGCAAATGCAGGGTGAGCATTCAGGTGCCAAGTGGTGGGTCTCTTACTCTAGAACTGGTTTGGCGTAACACATAAACAAGGAGCTAGAAATACAGAAAATAAAACTGATTGATACACATGCTCTGTGGGCCAGAATGTATACATTGTAACATATTTTAAATAGTATTTTAAAGATTTCTGTTTCAAGTGTGTGGCTGGGGATTTTAGAGCTGTTTGACAGGATATGGTATTGGCGGGGGGGGGTCTTCTTCAAAAGACTTCATTTATCATATAGACTTTGATGGGAACAAAAAGGGAGTTAATTTCTTGAAACTAAAAGCAGATGTGTGCTTGTTTACAGTAGTTAACATTGCAACTAATATTTCCCCCCTAATTCTTTCGATGACAAACTTGAAGATGTTTTTCATCCAGATTTTTTTTTTAACTATCAATATGCTAGAACCAGGCCTTTCCAATGTGTGATTCTATAAGTTAATGTAGTCCACCAGCCATGAGTGGAAACCCACCTGGAATTGATAAACTTCCAGGTCCTGTTACCTGCCCAAGGCTGCAAATATTGGCGGCTGCCAAGCTGGGCAGGCCACAATATATGGATACTGGACTGCACCGGAGTTGAAGATGGGTCACAGAAGGAGATGGAAAGTGTCTTAGGGGAACAGAGGGATAAAGTTGGACACCTTTGTCCTTTAATACATCATCTGTTTTTGGATGCCCCTTGGGATCCTCAGTCTACTGTTGTTACTGTTTAATATGACCCTTACCGTTCACAGCTGATAGCAGACTTTTGGTTCATAATGAACCCACCAACTTTCCACATATCAAATTAATATTTCATAGGGCTTGGCCATATGTTTCCAGTAAAGGTCCCCTTGAGGGTTGAGTAACTTACAACTTGCAGACTTGATCTGGCCCACTCAGGACCAAACGGGATGAGATGCTGAGCATTCTGTGGCTGCGGTCACACGCACCAGTTGGAGCGCAGGAGAAGGGAGGCTATTTCCTCCAGAGGAATTTGACATGCAGTTGTGAGATCACATAGCCCTTTGAAGCTGCGGGCACAGCCCGTCACTGTGTGATCAGACACAACTGTGGGTGAGTCGTCGTTGTTGTTTTGCCATTTGTTTCCCTTGCGCGTAAACAAGCAATCGAGGAATCGCACCTCCGCACTGAGGACCCCCTATGGAGTATGCAGTGATGCACTTACTGGAAGGGGGGAACACAGTATGGAGTCGGGATGCCCTGATCAGACCATCCTGACAGCATGAGAGCCAGTTTGGTGTAGTGGTTAAGTGCGCAGACTCTAATCTGGGAGAACCGGGTTTGATTCCCCACTCCTCCACTTGCACCTGCTGATGTGACCTTGAGTCAGTCACAAGCTCTGGCGCAGCTGTCCTTGAAAAAGAGCAGTTTCTGGCAGAGCTCTCTCAGCCCCGCCCACCTCACAGGGTGTCTGTGGTGGAGAGGGGAAGGGAAAGGGGTTTGTAAGCCGCTCTGAGACTCCAAGTGAAGGGCGGGGTATAAATCCAATCTCTTCTTCTCTCTTCTTCTTCTGCTTCTAACTGAGCGATCAGACAGGGGAAAGTCTGCCCGTGGCCCGCCTTATCCAGGTAACACCAGACTTTCCCGTCTTTTGACTCCCGTGGCGGAACAGCACGGGTTGCCAATGACTGCGGGACACTTCCCAGCTGTTGCTGTCTGATCACTCCCTTTAGATCCATCAGGTATCCGCACCTATATCGGATCTAAAGGAGCATGTGATCGCAGCCTGTGTGATTATTGGTAACAGCAAGTTTTAGGAACCTCAACTTCGATCGGGACCACTGTGAAAGAGGAGATGAGCATTTATGCCTTTCCCCACAGTGTTTTCCCAACTTGAAGTGGTTTGGTGGAATTATGTGCCCTATTGAGGCATACATCTGGGCAAATTGGGGTCCTGCATGCCTGCTATTAAAAAGCCACTTGGGAGCTCTATACATGTGAAAAGTACGCAGACGGACGAGTGATTTCAGGTTAGCATACTTTATTAGCACAGAACAAGACAACTTTAGCCGGCTCGTAGGCCGGCTTATATCCCCCGTGAATCCACCATCCAGAACACCCCCCCACTTCCCAATAGGTCCCAACTAGTGGCCGAGAGTCCCATAGGCTCTCGGCCCGGAGCCTAGCCCTCTGATTGGTGCAGGCTAGGATCCGCATCGTCCTTTGTTTATCGGAGCGAAGCTCGACGCTTGCGCTTGACCTCGTGGCGCCCAAGCTGACCACGCGGTCAGAGCTTGATACATTACACCATGAAACTATGAGGATTTCAGCTGGTTTGGCACTAAGAGTTTCCACTTCTCCCCTCCCCAGGTGCCAATCCACCCTCCCATTTCTTGACATAACTTGGAGAGTAGGCAGGCTAGAGACAGAGGTAAATCAGAAAATGAATGTTCGTCTCCCTGCTGCGGGAAAGGGAATGTACGAAGCAGGAAAACCGGAAACACTCCTCTCTATAATATCCTGATCTCCCTGTTTGCCTTCCCGGAATAGTAGAATAGGAGGGAACAAAGCAGACCAAGCCTTCCCTCCTTTCAGTTGTGTATTGTGCTACATTTCTTACCCTCTTCTCCCTGCGCTAATAATGTTGCAGGGGATGAGCAAAGAAGGAGGCAATGTCAGCGTTTCACACTAGACGTCCTGCTAGGGAGCTGTGTGTCTAGTGTTACCTTTGCGAAAGGTGGATTGTTCCTGAGTTGCAGATCCTTTGTGGAGAGGCGCACCATAAAGCCAGTTCTTGGTCATGAGTGCAGCATCAGGTGAGGCTAAGACATCAGGATAGTATGTGTTGTTCTCTCTCCTTTCTTCCATAGTACTCAAGGCGGCATACATTGGATTCCAAAGCAGTCTCCTGATCCAGGCACTAATCTGAGAAAGATTGTTTTAGCTTTAGCGTGGTTTTTGCATCAGACTGTGCCCCAACAGTGGTTGTGTTTCCCAGCCAGGCTGGAAGAAAAGAAGCCAACCCGCAAAAATACAACGATCAAGGAGGCCAGGGCAGGAAGTCAGCTCTCCTCGGCCTTGTGTCCCTTTTGTTGTGAAATTAGACATCTCTAGAAGTGAGTGGAGCAAAGAGCAAAGGTGGCTGCCCCGTCTCATCTTGTTTGGCCCTGAGAGAGGTTGCTGAGAATGTGCAGACCCCCTAAAATTCCAGATAACAGGAATGGCTGGACTGGCTCTCTGGATGACTTGCTCCTTTCCAAATGTTACAAGGGTAACACAGGGTGGAGAATTTAGACAGAGGGGGCTTTTCCTCTATCTCCCATAATACTAAAACTTGGAGGCATTCAATGGAATTGTTTGGAAATAGTTTTGAGACAGATAAAAGGAAATCCTTTTCTCAACAAGTAATTAAAATGGCATTCAGTGCCGCTGGAGGTATTGATGGCCATGAGCTTAGGCGGCTTTGAAAAAGGGGAACTGTCCGCTAGCTGCCATGTTTCGTTTGTATTTGTCCTTTCCTGCCTGTGGCGCGACTGCGCATGCTTGGCTCGCTTGCACTGCTCGCTTGCTGTAAACAGCGATAGGGAGGCGCTCATGAGACCGTGCGAACTGGCGCTGCCAGACTGGGTTATCTGTCTAACCTTGAGGAGGAGGGAGGCCTTGCGTTCCACTGTTGGTGTGAATATTTCTGCTCTCATGAGGCACGGAGACTCTCCCGTTCATTATGTAATCTCCCGCCGGGAGGATTCCCCCCCGCATGCTTGGATTTTATCTGCTTAGCCACTTGCAGCATCATGTTATATGTACTGATGCACCCGCCCCATTGTCATTCCTAACAATATCCCTGTAGATCATGGCAACAGACCTGTAGTCTAATAAAGCATAACGCTTCCCTGGAAACGTGTGTGGAGATTTACTTGCTGTTGAACCTGACAGGAACATAGAAAGCTTTGACTGAACTCAGAGCCTCCACATTTAGAGGCAGTATATCTCTGAATGCTAGTGCTGGGCGGTAGCAGGCAGGGAGGACCTCAACCTCTATTCGCTGTTTGTTTGGCCCTCTCTGTGAAATACTGTCCTGGACTCATCTCGCAGGAGGAACTTGCAGTCTTATGGAAAACATAAAGGAAAAGAAGGGGGAAACCAGTGCTCTGCAATTCAAATAATAAAATTAAATAATATTGTTAATTTGGGCCTGTCTATTACTGGGAGTGTATTCTCAAGGTACTTGCAATGCTAGAGCAATCCAGCATTCACTGAGGTAACACTATAGACATCTGTCTAGTCATTAAAACATGACATCCTTACCCATCTGATGTTTAGCTTAAAGTGCTTCAGCGTTGTTGTTTTTTGTAGTTTGATTAAATGTTTTAGTATCTGTAAGCTACCTTTCTTCCAAAATTAGAAGCCCTCAGCCAACTAAATCTTTAAAACTTCTCAGCAGACAATTTCCAGGCACAACCAAGCCAAGTCTCTAACTGATTTGTCCTCTGAGGAATGATGCCATCAATTTAGTTGCACGATAGCAATAAATGATTTATTTTGAAAAGATAAACTATGTAGTTTATTTATGGATAATAATTACCTAGGCCCTCAGGCCTCTGAGAAAACGTAACACTTGAAACTTGCTGACCTATCTAAGAATGTGCTTTAAAATTCACAATCTGTAATGACTTCATTCCCTTGAGGCTGGAATTCCAAATTCCGGTGGAGGTGCCTTTCTGACCCATACAAATCAGCTTTCTCTGCTGATGCATTACGAGGTATCCATCATTTGATATGAAAGGCTTAGAGTAATTGAAAGAAATTAATGTATTTCCACATTCCCCACTTCAGCAGCAAATGAGAGCTACTCACTGAACATTCCACTGTGGAACTCCCAAAAGTGAATTCTAGCGAACTAAGCTGAAACCGGAATGTTTGCATTATGTAATGCCAAGTGGCCCCATATGCCTAGGACGATTGCCCCCTGTGGGATCAAGGCTTCCTGCAATGGCTACTCCTCCTAGAGATGTCTTACCTTGGGGAACGGAAACTGCGGTCACACTGGCAGGCTTGGTGCGGTATGGCGGCGCCTCAAATTGCACCAGTTCAAAGCGTAGCAGAGCATTTCATCCAGACTGCACACCCTGTGGCAGATTACCCACATGGCTGTCCCGTGGGGGACCATTCACATTAGTGTTGCGCTTCAACCACTGGACAAGCTGTAAGGGTGGGTTTTATTTAAATGCAGGTGGATGGATGCACATATGGGCAGCAACTAAAAAAAAACAGTGGCTGAAACAGCTCTGCAAGTTCAGACGTCCCTTCCGGGTTCCTTTCGCTGGAGGAGAGTTCAGACATTGGAAAACCCGGAGGGAACCTTTCGTAATGGACTTTCCCCGGACTTTATTCCGCTTCCATTGCGGAACAGAACGGGCTGCCGACGACTGCGCCACAGGAGGCAGATGTCCTCGTCTGGAGGGGCCCATTTATTCCATTCAGGTAACGCCACTGTAGCGCCACAAGCGGCCCGTGTGACCGCAGCCAGAGTCCTCCCATTTATGCAGGATATGTGGAGGGACGGTATACAATACCCTTCCACAAGCGAGGCAAGCACCGTTTCCCATCCTCCAGAGGCACTGCTGCAGTGGCAGCCTTTTAAGGCCGCAGCGGGAGGCTGTCTCCAATGACACTCTGTTGCAGAAGGTTGTTTCCTGCCCCCTTGGAGACTTCTGCCAATGCAAGAGGTTTTTCTGCCGGTGGAAGAGCTTCTTGTGTCAGTGGACAGCTCTTTGCGCCTTAGGAATGCAGAGCTGTTAGCCAAGCAGAGTGGTAAAGGTAAAGGTAAAGGTTCCCTTGCTCGAAAGCCAATCGAATCCAACTCTAGGGTTGTGGTGCTCATCTCCGTTTCAAAGCCGAAGAGCCAGCGCTGTCTGAAGATGTTTCCGTGGTCATGTGGCCGGCATGACTAAACACCAAGGCGCACGGAACGCTGTTACCTTCCCACCAAAGTGGTACCTATTTATCCACTTGCAATTTCTTGCTTTCGAACTGCTAGGTTGGCAGGAGCTGGAACTAGAGACGGGAGCTCACTCCATCATGCGGCACCCAGGTCTTGAACTGCTGAACTACCGACCTTCCACAGCCTGCAGTTCAGCGTCTTAACCACTTGAGCCACCGCAGCTCCTAAGCAGAGTGGTAGGCCACATCTAACAGTACCTCGCAGAACTCTCCTATTTATTCCAGGTCCTTGTCCAAGGGTGCTTGTTGAACTTTACAGGCTCTCAGCAATTTTTCAGTAAAAATAAGTGACAGCCAGTTTACAGTCTCTGGCTTGATTTAAAGCTACTCAATTCTGTCTCCCCCCCTCCCCTCCCAAAGAACTGATCCAGGTGCCACCATCAGTGCATCCAAGGCATTTCTATCTTAAGAATGTGTGAGACCTGCTTGTAAACTACCGCACGCACCCCCCAGTTATCTTAATGCACTCTACACACAGAGGGAGTTGCATGGAATCCTGTCCTCCCACCCTGCGTAAATAAAGTGGGAAACCTAACCCTAACCTGCAAATAGTTTTCTTATTACTTTCTTCCAAGCAATGCTTCGTTTGTAGGAAGCTTCTTGTGTAGGAAGTGTGTGAAAAATAAGCAGGAAACACTGGTGCAAAGATGGTCTGGAGTAAAAATAGAGAAACCTCAGGAAAACCCCCGAAGACCAGCAAACAATACGGTGTAGAAACTTTTTTGGGGGGGGGGGGACAAAGCAGTAAGAAGGAATGCCTTAAGTTTCCATGAACATTCAAGCAAAAATGTCTCAGTAGCATTCTACCTCTTCGTTCCTCAGGAAAGTACATAATTTATTACATAACAGTGCGGTGTAAGGTTTCGAATGTTGGACTAGGATCTGGGAGACTCAGACTCAAATCCCCGCACTGCCACGGAAGCTTGCTTGGTGATCTTGGGCTAGTCACACCCCTTCAGCCTCACCTACCTCACAGGGTTGTCGTGAGGATAAAATGAAGGAGGAGGAAGAGGAGGAGGTTGGATTTATGCCCCACCCTTCACTACCCGAAGGAGTCTCAGAGCGGCTTACAAACTCCTTTCCCTTCCCCTCCCGACAACAGAAATCCTGTGAGGTAGGTGGGGCTGAGAGAGCTCTTTGGAGGACTGCTCGTGAGAGCTCTGAAAGAACTTGTGACTGAACCAAGGTCACACCAGCAGCAGCATGTGGAATCAAACCCAGTTCTCCCAGATTAGAGTCAACACTCTTAACCACTACCCTAAACTGGCTCTCAAAGATGTAAGCCACGTTGGGTTCCACTCGAAGAAGAAGAGATTGGATTCATACCCCACCCTTCACTACCCAAAGGTGTCTCAGAGTGGCTTACAAACTCCTCTCCCTTCCCCTCCCCACGACAGACACCCTGTGTGGTTGGTGGGGCTGAGAGAGCTCTTGACAGAAACTGCTCTTTTTCAAAAACAGCTCTTATCAGAACTGCAGCTTGCCCAAGGTCGTCCAGCCAGGTGCAAGTGGAGGAGTGGGGAATCAAACCCGGTTCTCCCAGATTAGAGTCCGCGCATTTAATCACTACACCAAACTGGAGAGAAAGTTGAGGTATAAAAGAAGTAAGTAAATAAGTAAGTAAAGATACGTAGATATAATTCTTGGCTTCTCTGCTGGCAGTGTCAATTTCAGCTGTTCTGTTCCAGACTTTACTTAACGGAAACCTCCATTTGTTCTATATATGGCACTGAATAACCACATAATTGTGCATTCTTTTCACTAACGACTTCCTCTTTTTCCTGTTCCTTGGTAATAGATGTTTGGCAGAACAGAGATGAGGGATGGAACTTCTCACAGGAGTATGACCCAGAACTGATCAAAGAGGAAAAGCGGAAAGAAGTAGAAGAGGAGATCAGAGTGCAGGTGAACTTCCTCTAGCAGGTCATTTATAACAAACAGTGGTTGTTGTCAAAGAGGATTGCTTTGTAGAGGCAAGAGCTGGTCGGGCATACTTCTAGATGAGCATCTGTTTGCCTTTACCCATTAACATAAGTGAAATACAAAGCAGCTAAAGTACACTTATCTGAGAATGCCTCTGCAGGGAGACATAAAACAAAATAGTTACAGCCATGTTGCCATTTGCCGGGAAGCTGAATAAAGGGGATGCCACCAAGCGAACTTTCGCGTTCTCTGCTAACAGTCAAGTTTTGTGTCTGGCCCTTTGGAAAGGTAATCTGCATTCTGGATTTAGCTCGTTCACACTTGCCTTATTTGCTGTGGCTTGGATGCTCTTGGAAAATGGTTCCCACACACTTCCCACAGCATCGTGCTTCCGTGCACCGCCTAGATTTTACTCATTTTCTTTATCTCATTACATATGCTTACTCATTCAGTCCTCACATATGTATTCTCAACAAGAAGGACTATAAATCCTCTGTATTTTAGGGTATTTCTTTTTCAGAATAGTATATTAGAATACTGAATGTAATGCAAGGAGTATTGGGATGTTTTGCTGCAGCCACCTCAAAAAGTGTTATTAAGTGTTCTCCACGTCTGGGCAAACAGAGATCTCGGTTTGTGCTTCCCACAATGAGAAAAGACACCTTTAGACATTTATCTGCTATTCTGACATGTTTATTGCTTTACAACTGTTGACCTTATAACCTTAGTTTGTTATTTATCTCTGACTTTGCATATCTTAAGGAGCTGCGGTGGCTCAAGTGGTTAAGACGCTGAACTGCAGGCTGTGGAAGGTCAGTCGTTCAGCAGTTCGAGACCCGAGTGTGCCGCATGATGGAGTGAGCTCCCGTCTCTAGTTCCAGCTCCTGCCAACGTAGCAGTTCAAAAGCAAGAAATTGCAAGTAGATAAATAGGTACCACTTTGGTGGGAAGGTAACAGCGTTCTGTGCGCCTTGGTGTTTAGTCATGCTGGCCACATGACCACGGAAATGTCTTCGGACAGCGCTGGCTCTTCGGCTTTGAAACTGAGATGAGCACCGCAACCCTAGAGTCAGACTCGACTGGCTTTCGAGCAAGGGAACCTTTACCTTTTTACCTTGCATATCTTAAACATCATCATGTTACATGTTAATTTGTTGTTAAGTCCCTGTCTGTAAGTCTGAACGTTACCTACCATTCCAGTGTATTTGGAAAAGTGTGCCTTGCACACGAAAGCTTATACCTTGAATAAACCTTTGTTGGTCTTAAAAGGTGCCACTGGACCTTTGTTCTGCTGCTTCAGACCAACATGGCTGCTCACCTGGATAATTCCCCCCCCCCCTGTAATCTTTCCCAAACCTGCTTTTGCTGCAGTGTTCTGGAAACAATGTGGTTGACGTTGCATGTGAGGAGGGCACTGAAGTAGACTCCAGGAAGCTGTTTTCCAAAGTGTTTGATGAGAAATGGGTTAATGGCAAAAGGCTGGTGGTTTCTTTCGTTAGTCTCTGACTAGCACAAAGGGGGCAAAGCAGCTTGCTCTGCTGAGAGTGGCCGAATGTTGCCATGCACAGCTTCTCTGCCTTCAGCCAGTTTGGTGTAGTGGATAAGTGCGCAGACTCTAATCTGGGAGAACCGGGTTTGATTCCCCACTCCTCCACTTGCACATGCTGGATGACCTTGGGCAAGCCATAGTTCTGGCACAGCTGTTCTTGAAAAAGAGCAGTTTCTGTCAGAGCTCTCTCAGCCCCACCTACCTCACAGGGTCTCTGTTGTGGGGAGGGGAAGGGACAGGAGTTTGTAAGCTGCTCTGAGACTCCTTTGGATAGTGAAGGGCAGGGTATAAATCTAATCTCCTCCTCCTCCTCCTCCTCCTCTTCTTCTTCTTCTTCTTCTTCTTCTTCTTCACGTTTCCATTGGCCAGCGGTGAGGGAGTTGGTGGTGAGGCGATGGTTTGCCCTGAGCTGGACACTATGAAGCAGGCTGGGACACTAGCGAGGTCCCCGGGAGGGGGGCATAAGGAGACATGGTGCTGAAGCCAGGCACGAAACAAGCCCATGATTCAGTGATGGTGTGTGAACAGATTTCTGGTTTGACAGGCAAACCGCAGTTAAAGTGAGCCATGGTTTTTGTGGTGCACCTCAAAAGAGTATGTGTAACTGCCTCAACAGGTAGATGAACTGATGCGTCAGGAGCTAAAGAATCTCAAGTTGGCTGTGGACAGAGAGACAGAGAAAACAGCGAAAAAAGGCAAGAGAGGGAAAGTAAGTAAAACGTTGCTAATCTGTGCTAGGAGTTACTGCTTGACTAGGAGCCAGAGAAGGCTTCCTGGTGCCTTCTTAACTTGCATGTAACTAACAGCTCCCCCAAGACATGGTTTTCCCAATCATCAGTTTTCATTTCGAGATGGAAAATCGATTCTTGAGAAACCAAAGAGGGCTGCCTTGTGATGGCTAATCGGTGACAGCTTGTTTCTGTGGAGTGCCTAATACGTAGTGACATCGTGGTCAGATTTTATTGTACGTCGTCTAAGCAGGATTTTATTAAAACTAAGGAAACAAGTTTTGCCTTCCGTTATTCCTTCCCCCACCCCCCTGCTGCTATAAAACAAGTAGATGTATTTTGTAGTGCTAAGTTTTCTGTTACGGTCATATGGATGACATGTTTCAACTCCAGTTTCTCCCTCCCTTTCCCACAATGTCACAACAGGGCACAGTCCTGAGAGTGCTCTGCAGTTAGCCATGTGATGCTGCTTCCCCTGTGCCTTTCTCTTTAAGATATTGGGTTTGCTTCGTTGCCTAGAATCCTGGAGGCACTGGCCTTGTGCGGAGCTCCCAAGCCGGGGAAAGCAGCTCCCATGTAGCCTCCATCACCTTCCAGCCACTATGGTGGGATCTCCCATCTCTTTACATTACTTTCTAGAAAGGCACAACAGGCCCAGGTAGTCTTCTTGTAAGCCAGGGTTCATTTTTGATCCTGCAGGCACCTTTGGAATTCTGACCCAGGGAGGTGGCACGGACACAAAATGGCAGTCACAGGAGGTGGGGCCAGCCACAAAATGTCAGGGGGTGAGGGTATGCCTAACTCGGACAGTAACTCTCCAGCATTTCAGGCAGACGCTCTGTTTAACAGGATGTCTTTTAATCTGTCCTGCCAATCAGACCTCCAGTGGCCAACCAGAAGCCGTGCTGGGCAAAAGCCCCACCTGGCCCATCCCACTTTCTAAAAACAGTTGGTTGGCAGGAGGAAAAATATTGGTGGGTGTCACGTTGGGGGCAGGGCCATGGTGGCTCAGACGTTAAGACGCTGAGCTGCAGACCAGAAGGTCAGTAGTTTGGCAGTTCAAGACCCAAGTGCAGCATGACAGAGTGAGCTCCCGTCTCTGACCCCAGCTCCTACCTACCTAGCAGCTCAAAAGCAAGAAATTGCAAGTAGATAAACAGGTACTGCTTCGGTGGGAAGGTAACAGCATTCCGTGCGCCTCGGCATTTAGTCATACCGACCACATGACTATGGAAACGTCTTCAGACAGAGCTGGATCTTCAGCTTGGAAACAGAGATGAGCACTGCCCCCTAGAGTTGGATTCGACTAGCCTTTGAGCACGGGAAACTTTTACCTTCACCTTATGTTGGGGACACCCTGGTTTAGGCAGTGCGTGGTGGTTTGTGTTTTCATTGATTAGGGGCATGTTAGAGCACAGCAAAACACCGATAGTGAAATTAAATGGTAATGGAATGAAAATCCATTACCGAGAGTGCCCAGTGGGAAACCTGAAACAAGCAGAATGTCCAGTCTATCCTTACTCTCCAACATAAGGAGCATATAATCAATGCCCCCTGTACTTTGTACCAGGAATCTGCAAAAACTGAAGGACTCATGGAAGATGATATCTACGCCTCCTCCGCAGCCACCTGTGCAGGTTTGGCGGAGGGCTACATAAGCAGGCAGAGTTAGTTGGGACAGAGACATCACCACATTTTCTTCCAATCGTGTCTCAGCTGTGCAAGCCAGGTCAGTTTTGTCCTCCTGTGACATCACAGAGAGATGAGCAGTTTTATGCCTGACTGATCTGCTATGGCACAGTACTAGTGAAGAGGTGGGGGAAATAGGGGTCCAGGAAACTACAGAGGGTAGATAAGCAGCAAGCATCCTTGCCAAATACTGGCCATCTGGGATGAATTCCATCTCCATGTCTACCAGGTTCCATCTGCACTGAAATAATGCTTTCATCATACATCCTCCTTCAGGTAATGATTGCTCCCAGCACCACTAATAAGCCCCCCAACACCCTCCACATTGAACGTGCTGCGGGCCACAGAGATGCCATGCAGCACCTGGGCTACTGTCACAATGTGTTGATGTGAGCATTGTCCAATGCCAGTACTTCCGGTTTCCAGGTATGTAAGTGGAGTCAGTCTCCCTCTCCAGTAGAGGTGGGCCTCTCTCCACTCGTTGTGTGAAGTGGCTGGGCTATGCACCCAGGCTAAGAGCCACAGAGCAAGAATCCTTGTGCTCTCGCCCTTTGGCCTGTAGTTCCTAAGAAAAACTTTTACGCAACATCAGTTTTCCAAATAAGAATTTCTGCTGCTGGATTTAAAATCCGGTTAGTGTTGATGAAAGAATCATACAAACGCCTCAACACAACAGAAACCAATTTAAATTTAGAGTGCTGTGGTGATTTTCATTTAAATGCTTTGAGACCGATGGATAAAATAATTTTACAAATAGGGGGACCAGGCAGAGTGGAAATGGGGGAAAGAACATGGAGGAAAGAGGCAGCTGACAATGAACTGAGGAATAGCCAGGAAAACAAGGAGCTAAAAGATTAAAGAAGGAAGACGCGGGGTGGCAGGGTTATCTGAAAGGGCTTTGTCACCCAAGGCAAGTACAGTTTTGCATCTGTCCCATTAGTTCCTAAGCAGCAGAACAAGGCTTCACGCAAAATCATCTGCAGCTTCCTCGAATATGATTTTAAGAACATAAGAGGAAGCCTTGCTGGATCAGACTGGTGGTCCCTCTAGTCCAGCATCCTGTTCTACACAATGGCCAGCCAGCTACCCTAGACAGCCAGCGAAGAAAGCCGAGGCCTTCCCCCAATGCTGCCTTCCAGCACTGGTGTTGAGAGGTTTCCTGTCTCTGAATCTGGACATTCCCTTTACTCCCCAAGGCTAATGGTCACTAATAGACCCTTCCTCCATGAATTTATCTTGTCCCCTACAATATTACGTTTAGTTTACATAGCATTTAACACACTGTATATGCTGGCTGTGAAATCCACTGGAGTAGACGGGGGTAACTGTACATAGGATTGCAATGTTCGTTTTTAAGTTGCCCCCGAATGCTTTTTCTTTGATAAGGAAAGAGAGCTATTTTAAGACCCATTGAAGTATATTCTTCCAGGAGGCTATGATTTCTTGGAATGAAATGATAAGCTGTGTACTGTGTACTTCATGCTATAATAAGCAGTTTGGTTTCCTGCACAGAGTTAGGTAGGGTTTTCAAATACAAGGACTGAGCTCATAACCTCTTTCTTCTAGTAGGGGGAAAAAAACTTTGCTTTTGATTCCCCCTTCCTTTCAGTCACTTAGAAACCAAAGATGTGTTGCTGTTGTTTTGTTTTGTTTTACAAACAACTCACCAGAACAACAGGAAAAGGCAACTTCAATACTTAAACCTTGATTTTGATGCTTTATCAATAAATGTATGCAGGTCTGAAAAGGGCCTTTCCTCCCCCAAATTCTTCCTCTTCCCCATTTCCCATCACCAGGAGCCTCTGTTTGGGGGCCCTGGCCTGAGTGGGCTGGATACAGAAGTAGGCTGTTGCAAAGACATCTCATTTGCATATACGGTTGGTGCTTTTGGAAAGAGTGTTCAGTGGGAGGGAAGTCATCAAGTTCATTTAAAGGTGTTTGCTGTACGCAAGTTTCCGTAACTTGCCTGAGCGTGACTTACAAGAAAAGGAAGGGGAAGAATTGTGTCAGCATAAACTTGAAGGCTTTCAATCACAGGGATTTCTGTAAGCTCTTGGGGAAGGTATTTGTTTTCAGAGTTCTTTTGCATCAGCTTTAGTAACCAGATAGAATGAAGGGGGAAAAGAGAGAGGAGGGTGGAAGACTGTGAGGGACCTTTGTTAGAATAAATTCCCTCTGACCATAGAGAAGTCCTTCACCTCTGTCCAGAGGCACAGTTCCCCATGGCAGGGAAAGAAAGCAATGCCCTCTTGTTATGACACTCCAAATGGCTACTTGTGCCATATGTGCACAGAACAGGCAGAGAGTTGTCATATATAGCACAGAGAAATTAATAACACAGGATAAGAATCCAAAACATCAGCAGCCTGAAGTCTTTAAAGCCGGAGCCTCAAATATGACCTTGGAGTTGAAATTAGGGATGGGCACGAACCGGAATTTTGGTCGGTATGTGATTGATGAAGCGATGTTCATCGTTGTGCCTTCTGTGCAGTCCACATGAGACTGCATGATTGCAGGCCAGCTGCAGAGAACAGCTTTCAAACTTTTCAAAGAAGTTTCTAGGCTTTGGAGTGCTTCCCCTCCCCTTTTCCTGCCCAAAGTGTCACGTGACAGAGGTAAGGCGAGGACTCCCCCCTGGTGATATCAGGGGCTGTGGCATATGCTAATGAGTTATGCTAATGAGTTCCCCTAGCTCTTTTTCTACGAAATGACACCTGTCGGTATGTGATTCATGAAGCGATGTTCATCGTTGTGCCTTCTGTGCAATCCACATGAGACTGCATGATTACAGGGCAGCTGCGGAGAACAGCTTTCAAAGTTTCCAAAGAAGTTTCTAGGTTTTGGAGTGCTTCCCCTCCCCTTTTCCCGCCCAGAGTGTCACGTGACAGAGGTAAGGCGAGGACTCCCCCCTCGGTTCTCTTCTTGCCACCATGAGTAGAGGACATGCTTCCAGGAGCTGCTTCGTGGGGTCGCAAAAGGAAGCACGAAACTGCAAAGTAGGTAGGATGGCTCTTTTTTAAAAAATATGCGACATGCGGGGCAAAAATGGCCCAAAATGACAATCACAACTCATATCCCCTATACTTGAGAGAACGCCACAATATGGCCGCATGATGAGCCTGCTGGTGCCTTACCCCTAAAGCCCAGGAGGGCAGAGCTGCAAGGCTTAAAACTGCATTATGGGAGAAAGCCCTGGGTGCCCCAGATCCCTGCGGGGGGAAACTGGCTCAAGCAGATAAAGGTGCAACGGCCCGTTTGGTGACTTTGGCACCGGCACTCTTGGTATTGGACG